AGGACCAACAGGCTCCTTATCTCCATCTTGGATCGATCCAGCTGAATATCTGTATTTGGAGTTATTATTCTCTGAATTTTCAGGATTTCTAACTTATGTGCCAATTCGATTTCTGCATCACATGACTTACCTGACCTTTTGTTGGTACAGTTTTCTCAAACTGATTTGTGATTTTGCTTCACTGAAACTATTGCAAAAAAGAACTGCGAGACTGCTGTCAATAATAGCTTATCAGTATTCTCTTAAAAAAGGACTTATCAGCATTACGATAAATGTTGATGGCCGAGTGTTCTTTGCCTTCATCTGTTGCTATCTTTGGACTCTAGTCACGTCATATCAACTATATTTTGTTGACTAATTTTGGATTCCGAAGAAAACACCAATTTTATCTTGATTCAGTCACCACCACACGTATAAGTGGATGGTGAGGGCCTGTTCATTCATTGCTCTTCCTTTTGCCTCCTTGAATTCATAGCTTGTTGCCTGGACAGCACAAAGCGTTGATATAGGTAGTAGGTGGAAGTTTTTGCCTTCTATGTTGCCCCTCTCCCCTAAATTGGAGGTGAATCATGAATTTATGCAGTCTGCCTATTTCAGAATTTAATCATATGTTGAAGTTAATTGTGCATGAGGGTTAAAAATCTAGCATTTAATTTTCCATTTTTAAAATGAAACCATTTGAACATCATCTTTCTTGCCAGAAGATTGAACTGCAGTATTATGTCCCCTTTTTTCATTTAAAAGTATCAAAATTCATGCATTCTATGTTTGCTGGAAAACTCAATGAATCAAATTTGAAGAAATATGTATTGTTTGCACATACTTTTCCATTAATGTGAACAACTTCAATGTGTGTCGCTTCCTTCTCTTTATCATGTTTGTTCTTTGCTAGGTATTACGTATGACTTAGAGCAACAAGATGTGTTTTTTTGTTGGATAGATTAAAACTAATAATCAGGCATTCTTCTCTGCATCCCTTCTAATCTATGTTGTTACTGATTTTGTAGGAACTCAGAAGAGTTTGCAATCATGAAATCGCCAGCATGGCAACAACAGAACAACAGGATCCACACGGTTGCTTCACCAGACAGGGAGTGCCCTGGTAGAGGTAACAACAACAACGGAGTTCCACAGACCTATCCAGATGACAAGAAAGGCTCTTCGTCAGGGAGTGAGGGGTCCATCTGGCCGAAGTTTGCAATCACCCTGTCAAACAGGGAAAAGGAAGAGGATTTCCTGGTGTTCAAAGGATCCAAGCTGCCTCAAAGACCCAAGAAAAGAGCCAAGGTCATCCAGAGAACTGTCAATGTATGACCCTCTCATAATAGCTTCTGATTTGAAGAATTTATTTTCTGTTAAACTGAATGCAATCAATCCACATCAATGTGCATAGGGTATTACTTTGCTGTCCATGGTAATACTCTTTCTATCCCAAAAGAATACAATTCTTGATTCTCAACGAGTTAAACAATTTCAAATTTTGACTAAATCTATACAAAAAAATACTATAATACCAAATAAATACCATTACATTAATGTTGATATTATTTTTATGAATTTCGTCAAAATGAAGAAAGATTTGAGTTATCGTAAACCTAGAATTCTTTTTTTGAACAGAGAGGGAGTAGGTAACAAATAAATATACCTTGCTTCACGCAGAGAGATTCCAAACTCATAATATGCAAATACCAGTAGGCAGCAGTACTGTGCATGTTCATTAAAAAAATATGCTCCAAACTATAGGTTATCGCTGGAAAACGTAAATTTGTACCAGTGTTGTAAATAACTTTGGTTATGCATTATATTATTAATAGATACAGCCATACAGGGCATCTGGTCACATGGACCATAGGCCCGCCTCTGTGCACTCTGTCTGATCTGTCCCCTGAACACTGGAGACCTGCAAATAAAATAGCGCTCGGTGGATACCTGGACATTTGATTTGCTTGCCAAGAAGCACCCTTAGCACCACAGCATGCTTCTGTATGAAGCAAATAAGTTTGTTTAAAAGCTGATGCCCCCCATCCAGTTGCCCCTCGATGCTTGATGAGTTGCACTGCTGGTTCCTACTATCACTGCAAGTACTCTTATTTGAAACTGCAGAAGTAATTTACTAGTCTTGATGTCATTAGACAGTGTTGCGATTGTTGTATTGATTAGCTAATATGCTACTGCTATTGGGCAAGAGTTGTTTTGCTATATCAATTTAATTCATATCTAATATTTTTTTGAGCGAAAAGAATATATTAGATATGAACTAAACTGATATATTACTCCTGTGATTTGTTTTGAGGTCCAAGCATCCATGGAACTAAACTTAAGAAAACTCTGTCTAGTATTTTTATATGTATCTCTTGAGTTTGCATATGAGAAAACCCATCATTCTGTGATTCTTGCCTAAATATTGTTCATTTGCAGTTTGTATGCCCAGGAACGTGGCTATGTGACTTGACTCTTGAAAGATATGAAGTCCGAGAGAAGAAGGTTTCCAAGAAGGTGGGTGGATTGTGGAATGTCGATATCTATCAATTTCATACTCTTGGAGGAATTCATTCAGTCAGCTGACATTTGAACTGATTTTGCAGCGCCCCAGGGGATTGAAAGCTATGCACGACATGGATAGTGACTCGGAATAAAGATGAAAATAGCACTGAACATGAGAAGCTGAATATTAGAAAGAAGGCCAGGACAGATCCAGAAGATGGAGGTGGACGATAGAGCATCCTGATTGAATGAATGGCCTGATCAATGGGTCACCACTTCTCGCGATTGCTACTGGAGATGAATTTGTTCCAAAAGGACTAGCTTGTGGAGATCGGAGGACGACCGAAATGTAAGGAACTGCACGGAAGAAAAGAGAGGAGAGACGCAGGAGCTGGAATTCCTGAACATTAGCAACCATTCAGTTCCCTGTAAAGCAGCAACGCTGTTTTGCAAGCCTCTCATGTTAATTTCGCACTGCCAAACATCAACGTGATCGCGAAGCTAGCCAGTCCTGGCGCGTCTAGTTTGCCGGGTTATCTGACAATAAAAATTAATGTGAATCTGAAAGGGCCTTCCATAGTTTCTTTTTTCCTCGTGGTGCTGTATAAAGGTTCAGTGTACATTCATTCAGGAGCATGAGACAGTGTCCAGCACTCCAGTGTGAGTGGATCAGGATTCAGGCAACACAAATGATTGGACCTCTTTGTGTAATTCAGGACAGACAGACTTGTAAATTTTGAAAGTTTCAGTGATTTTTTATAGTTTACACTTTATACAGACCTACCCTCTCCGTCCTAGAAAACAGAAAATTTTCCTATTTGACACTAGAAAAACTTGTCTTTTCCTATTTATCACCCCTTTCTCTTTTTTTTTTACCTATTTGACACTTCCATTACTTTAGAGTTGTAATGGTGTCAAGTCTCAGACGAAAATACAGTTTTGCCTTTGTTTTTTTTCCCCAGTGACGACATTCCCTTTTGCTTGCCAAAGAGAAACATGACAGTTGAAAATAAAAATGCCCCCCAAAAAAAACAACGATAGCCAGCAAAAGGGAACGCCACGACTGGAAAAAACAGCAGAGGTAAACGGGCTTTTCTTTTGAGATTTAAAATCATTGAAGTGTCAAATAGAAAAGAAAAAAAAGGTGACAAATAGGAAAGATTTTAAGTTTGGGTGTCAAATAGGGAAGTAGAAGTTTTCTTAGGGTTAGAAGTTTTCTTCCCTAAGAAAGTGCAATTGTAAGTTTGGGATAAGTCAAATTTTCTTATGTTTGTCTAAGTTTATAGAAGATAATATCAATGTTTATTTTTTTTCAAATAGATTTACTCTAAAAATATATTTTAAATTAATCTAATGATACTTATTCAGGGTCATAATATTTGTAGTTTTTTATATAAATTTATTTAAATTTGAATTTGTCCGACTGCTGAACTCATTGATGCCGTGCATGTGGGTCCTGCGGCCCTTCCCAACGGCAACCGCCGCGCGGGACCAGGCCTGTTCGGTTGACTGATTCGTATCGTTGCTGGTTCGTTTATATGAGAGAAAAGTACTACCGGCTGGTTCGCGTAAATAGTAGCCATACGAGGGGCTGGCCAGCCAGCCCCAGCCCAGCGAGACCGCTTCTGTCCTGAAAATCCTTCGTGCGGGACTGCTCGCGCCGCTGCCTACAGGCTACTGATGATGGCACGCACACGCACATCTCGGGCACGGCGGCGCATTCCGCACGGCCGGCCGAGCCGCGGAGACAGACATACGCGGTGCGTGGAAATAGAGGAGCGGTCAGTCGCGGCCGGCCGAGCCGCCGTTCGTCGTGCTCGTGCGTTGCGCGGTCTGCAGCCAGCAGGTAGCCTTGGCCACGCTGGCTGGCTGTGGCTGGCACGTCGTAGTCGGACGGTGACGAGCAAGGCTAGCAAGAACAAGCACGCGTTACTTTTGGGTTTCTTTTCTGATTTTTTTTCTAAAACAATAGAGAACAAATCACGCGTTGGCTCGGAATTCAGGCTCGCAACGCCCTGAAAGGCTGAACCCAAACGCGAGAGTACATGCAAGAAAAAAATCGATGATCAGCTGCAAATAGCCAGATTCGCATATGATCAGCTGAACAGCTAGCGCCAAAGGAATTCAATGAGCAGCTCAACAACACAAAGAGGGGTAGATTAAGGTTACATTATTTGTTCGTATCGGTCGGTGCTTTACAGCAGCAAAGAGAGAAAGAAAGCGACTGAGCTGCTGCTTTTGTTAACCTGCTTGGCTGCTTTAGTTTTTCGCTTTGCCCCCTTTTATCTCTCAAAATAAAAGCGTCGCTTTTCTCTGCGAATGAGATGCAAATAACCCCAAAGGCGTGCCTTTCACTAATAAGGGAAAAAAAAGGGCGCAACCTACCTTCGGGGTAAAGAAAATCACGATGAAGCAACATTTTCTCATCATCAGACGAATTAAGTTCAATGTTCCTGCTTAAAAAAACACTAGAATCTGGGCAACAAACAATGTTCACTCTGAATCAATCAACGCTGCTACAGAAACGATCTGAATCTCTGAACCAAAAGAATTCCACGCGTGGGGTGGTACAAAGCACAGGTCAGGAACACACAACACAAGCAAAGCAAGCAGAAGACATCACGCGACGCATGTTGACAGACAGCACACGGCGGGCGGTTGCCGAGGAGGAGCTTGACGGCCGGGCAGAGCACGGCGGCCACGAGCGACGAGGAGACGGCCGCGGCGCCGGAGGTGGGGCTCGGCTCGGGGGCGTCGGCGGCGAAGGCGACGCCGGCGAAGGCGGACACGGCGACGGCCGCGACGTCGGCAGCGCGCAACATCTTGGAGGAGGCCACGACGACGGGGATATTTAACTTTTTCGATTACGACGGATCTCACCTAGATAGATAGGCTCTTAAAATTGCTCCTGCATATTAACTATCGAGAGAGAAGAATTCATAGCTTTAAGTCATTTTTTCATACGTGTTAGGACACGTAGGGAAGTCAGCGTGTCTGTGGGATGCGAAATGACTTTGTTATCCCTCATCTATTTCTTCTTCGTCCGTCTCATCCTCATCGCTTTGTAAAGATGCATCCCGGCCTACGCGCCTCTCAGCTTCGCCTCCTCCTCCCTCCCAGACGCGAGCAGCAGCCCCGCGAGCGCGAGGTCTGCGCACCACCCTAGCTAGCAGCGCTGCTCCGATGGCGAACGCAGGCACGAGATCCACCGCGTGTGGGCTCTGCTGTGGGCGCGGGCTCTACCGCGCGTGCGTCCCTATCCCGGCGTGCCTCCCCCATGGTCGGCCGCGCGAGGTCCAGCTCCTCCCCTTCCGATCGCTGCTCCCCCATCCCCGGCGGCGCGCGAGGTCCGGCTCCTCCTTCTGGCCGCGCGAGCTCCTAGGTCCGGCGAGGTGCCACCATGTTCATCGTCGGCGGGGAAAGCTGGCTCGCTAGTACCGGCAGCGACCGCACACGAAGAGACGCGGCGCAGCTCGTCTGTGGCCGAGATGCGCGTCCTCCACCGGCGAGGAAGCAAAGGAGCACGAGCACGAGGAGGCACGGGGCCGCCATGTTCGTCGCCCGCGCGAGGAGGCCGTGCTCCTACGTGTGCTCCAGGTGCCGCCATATTCGTCGCCAGCGTCGAGCGCGGCCATGGCCCCGGCTGCCTCGCCCCCAACTTCCCCTATGTCCTGTCAGCCGCCGCCATGGACCCCATCGTCGGCCATGGCCGGAGCTCGAGTGAGGAAGGGATAGAGATAGAAGAAATAGATGATGGACAAAAATATCATTTCCCGTGACCGATCTATGCTATCAGGTCGAGTTGACGTGCCACGTCAGCGAAAAATGGCAATAATGTATCAAATGCTATCTCTCGATAGTAAATATGTAGGAGCAATTTTAAAGTGCTATCTGAAGAGGTGACATCCGTTATAATGGTAAAAATTAAATATCCATGATGATGTGGAAGCTAGGGAACAGAGATTTGTCTGCGCTAGCTTTTGAGCTGTGAGGCTATCTCCAACAACAACACTCAAAATACAAAGATCCATTCGTCCTTTGGGTAGCGCTACAGGCACAAGATTCAATACATATTCGGCATCTTCTCCAACAACAAGACCCAAAAGAGAATCCTTTCTGCAAATGGATTTTCAGAAGAGAGAATGTCCATATTTGGGTTGTGCCTCTCAGGCAACCCAAAATAGACCTCCCGTATAAGTACTCTATTGGAGGCTGATTTTGAGTCTCTTGATACCCATTTTGAATTTAGGTGTTCATATAGGTTCCTTATTTGAGACAGTGTGATGGCTGAGCTCGTCGGGAAATTGCAAACGATTTGTGTGTGAGAGGTCCGGAGGAGAAGGTATGGTGGGCCCCACGTTCAGAGTCTGGCTGGCCTCCATCAGCCAGCTCAGAATTAGTGGCAACCCATAATAACTAGTCTATCACGCGCGCCCTTGCGCGCGTCGGTTATCCAACCAAAGATGCAGCGCAGGATTGAACAATCATCTAATCTTTAGCAACTAACATGACAAATACTCAGGGTCGTAGCATGAGGATGGTATGTACATATATTTTACATAGATAGATGTGATAAGCGCGGTAATGGTCCACCTTAGATGCACAGGTCCGGTCTGTAGTTGCTCTCCTTTAATATCAGCATGTTATATGCGTATGTTGAATTCCCTTGTACACAAGCTCATGAAAAAATTATTGACCAGAAGATCTAACTATTAGAAAAGGTATGTCTTTTCTATATTCTACGAAACATGAAAGGCTAGAGCTATTAAAGCAAATTACAATATTGCCATCCATCACCACCCTTCGATTAACATTTTCAAGCAACCTGGCTGTATCAATATTGTGGGGAGAATAAATTTCATTGGTAGTTAATTCAAAGAAAAAGGAGAAAAGCATACACATAAGTACCTTGCTGACTTAACTGAACAAAGATGAGGCCTAATAATATATTAACAATTCCTATTCGATCATGACAATTAGACATGTACACACATGATGCAATCATTATTTGGCTATTGCAAGCTCTATGAGCGCAGAATAACTATTTAGAATGGCTAGATATATACTACTTATAAACATGAAATTCCGTTCACTTTACGAACATGGAATTTACTCATGACAACTAGCTATCCATATAATTTCCTATGCATTAAGTAAATATAAAATTGCTGTAAAAATTATCACTACAGGTAAGACAAATAAATTACTAATATGGAAAAACCATTAGTTTTGTACCTTTTGTTTAGGACATGTATGGGAAACTCGTGGTGGGGAGAAGGGGAGAGAGGGCACGCCGGCGTTTAGGGTTTGGCCCATCCGGCATGGCAGCGGGCGGCACTGCCTGCAGCGCCACAACCGAGCGGAGGGAAGCGGAGCATCGGGACAAGACGCGCAGGAGGCAGTGGCTAGTGCCGTCGTTGGCCCACGGTCCTCCACCATGCCACCGCCGCCCATGGCCTCCGGAAGGTTCTTGCCTGCACAGATCCGACGAGAGGACAGACGGATCCGGCCATGGAGGCACCGGATCCGCTAGATCCGCCGGTGTGGGCCTCCGCCAGCAAGGAAGACCGAGCCGACAAGCCTACATCGACGTTCGTCCCCGGCGCCGACGAGGGAAGGGGAGGGGGAGCAAGAGAGAGAGAGAGCGAACCTTAACCTGCGCAGCGGCCGGGCAGCAGAGGGCAGTGGCCAGGCCGTCCACGGAAGGGCCGGCGGCGGCGGCGGACGGCTTGAGAAAGCAAAGGTGGAATTTGAAGCCTCATTCTGTATCAAAGCATTCAGCATTGCAGGTTGGGACATCTGTAAAGAGAGAAACGGCTACATCTTTAGACAAATCAGCCCGATACACGAAAACCGGGAAACTGAACCGATTTTTTCAGGAAAACTTACATGTAGTTGTATAGGATAAGAATTGAGCTACAAATGCATTCTAAACATATGGGAGACCACATTCTATATTGGCAAAGACTGTAGTAGAAGTTACTGCTGCATCAGATATCCACTGCGTAAAAATGTCACATTTTAACAGCAATATGAAAAAGCGTATTATGGAAACTTAAGATTAAAGGCACGGTATGTACAGGAGTTGTGAAAGTAGCCCATTCCAGCGCACCACGTCAGGTAAGAAGCAAACAATCCTTAGTACCACCCAAGGAAGTTTTTCGCTGCATAAGCAACTCATGTAAAACATTTCTTTTACCAAACAGCTATGTACAAATGGAACATTAAAAAATAGCTTGCTAATTGTATGGTGTTCTCTACTCAACTAACTGCCGCAGGCAAAAGCATTTTTAAATGATTCCTAGTTCGTCTCCAACGATAAAAAAAACCGAAACTGCAGTAAGTTGAGAATGTAGACCAAATAAATTAACTTCTGCCTATGTGCTCGGAGCCCAGGACTGCTTGAGGGTGACTTGGTGCACCATGTAAGCTGAGGTGAACTCCAAAACTGGGGAAGCATCCAGCTCTGCGATAGTAAGGGGAACCATTAATAAGAACAGGACACCACGAATCCTCGCAAAAATTGGGCCCTAAACTAAGGCGGCAATGGCATCTTTAGTAACCTAGAATGGGAAAAGGCGCATATATTTGACAAAGTTTGAGCCAAATGTGGACTGTTCAATGATTTTATTGTTGAAGAACGGAGTTTATACTCCATGTATCTCTTCCTTGTTTTGGCTGGACCTGATATCAGTTTGACATTAGTTTCTATAATTGTAGGGACTCAATTAACAATATGGAGGTTCAAGGTTTTTTTAGTCAGATAAAATTGTTCATAAACACTAAGATATACTATTAAGCAACAAGCATAGTGCACAAACAAGGACGCAATCATTCTAAAAAAACTTAAGAACAGGCTGCATCAAGCAAAACTAAGATGCGAACAAATGGCCTACAACATATATGAAGCCAAGTATACGGGAAACTGAGATGCTCTTCACGGTGCTGTACCGATAAAATTGTGGAGTAAGGGTGAAAGCAGGAATCATTAATGGGACACGTATATGAAGCCCTATCTTCTTGATGCTAAATTGTATCGATAAACCATAGGAACTCTACGTATTGCTATTGTAGACAGGAATTCATCCAAACATCTAGAAAGTATGGCATCACATCTTGGTAAAAAAGAAAGAATCAATTAGCTACAAGCATCAACTGTCAATATAATGATCTTGAGCCTTGATCTATAGGCACCACGTTACAATAATAAATAACAATTACCATGCTTCCTGAAAATTTTTTGCTGTTCTGACCTGTCATTAATTGTCTTGGAATAAACACATTATACCAAGAACAGGGCAGGAATTAATCAACCTACAAAACATACACTGCCAACAGGCGCCACCTAACTAACATACACTTGGCCGCAGCTAGTACGCACTAAAGGGGGAGAACCGCTACACATTCATGGACCAAAGAGAAGAAGTACCCATATTATTGTTTGAACTTTGAAAGGTTGTTATGGCTTAGAACATAACACACACTGCACCTATAACCAAGCTTTACTTCCCTTCAATACCAACTAAGAAAATACCTAACAGAGACATGCATGTGAACTGCCTAATTTGACTTACACTGAATATTTTTTAGTGTCCAATTAGACTTCCTTAACAGTAGAGTATGCAGAGAATTATTGCTTATCAGCACATACAACCTCAATAATAATATAGCTCACACCTTTGAAGAAATTGTCACCTGAAAGTGATTGAGTTTCAGTAAACTGTGATATAGTCACACATGCCTATATATGGTGCAACAGGAAATGGTATTACCATATACAGCAAAACAATGTGTTCCTGCTTTCAGCTTATTTACTTCACAA